CGCTGCGTCTTCCGGTCCGTGGTCGCCACTCGAGGACTTTATTGCCCCAACAGCCATCTGTCCTACGAGCTATGTGGCCCTGTCCATTGCCACTTCAGTCGCAATTCTTCGGGCTATGTCGGTCACTCTGGTTCTTCTGCGGATCTCCTGATTCGATCACGCAGAGAAACTCCGAGCAGCCTTATAGCCCGCAGCAAGATAGCCTTCTCCATTTCCCTCTGAGTGACTCTGAGCTTGTTCATGAGGCCCATAGTTAGCGACCACATCTCTGTACACATCACTGATTGGTCGTAAACCTTCGTCTTGAGACACTGCGGAAATTTGGACGAAAAGATATATCGGAGCTTCCCGAACGCTGCCCATCCGAGTTGGATTCGACGATTGACCTTTTTCTCAAAATTGGACCTAGCTGGATAGTTTGCAGTTTAAGTATACGTAGTGATGGACAATTTCGAGTGTAGAATCTCTGATTTTTATATAAAGTAGATATAAAGTAGTTTGGAGTAATAATTAAGACCAAGAATTCTTTTTCCTAATAGTTAACTAGGACACATTGTTCTTGAAGTTAGAAAGGAAATAACTAAATAACTGAAGTTAGAATACAACTTCACACATGGAAAAAACAATCGTATTGAGAGTACGTTTTCCCCTTTGAACAGTTGAAAATTGTACCTAAATCACCATGAAATCATACAAGTCACAGTGGACGAAAACTCAACAGGCGTAGACAAATACGACTATCGGAATGATGGAACGAGTGTCTGTAATCCCAAGTGACGTCTGCGCCCAATTAGACGTCAGGCATTCGTCTTCCCGTCCTTTCTTTTTCGCGCGCGTCGAATATTGGACGAAATATGACTGAAGTATAGATACAACGATGTGCAATAAATTCATTCTATTTTCAAAATTTTAAATTATAATTTTTCTATTTTACTCTATAATAATTTATTAAAACGAATAAAAAAATTCGGTATATTTTAAATATAGAATGGAATGATGCAACTCATTCCATTCTATATTTAAAATATACCGAATTTTTTTATTAGTTTTAATAAATTATTATAGAGTACCTACTGTTTTGAGAATAATTTACATTACGAAATAGATAATGCGTGAAGAATTTTCGAGTCCAAAATTAATTTCATCATTGTAAAAATAAGAAGGTATGTGTATTTTTTCCATTAGTCTCAGCTTATATTTTCTATGTTACAGCTCTTAGTCTGTAATTCGCATTATCAAACTAGTTCAAATAACTTAAAAGTAGTTCTAAAAGATCTCTTTGGTGTTATACCTACAATATTGCTATCAACTTTTCACGTTTACATATCTGATATGTAAATGTGGCGTGAAAAGTTGAGTGTTAAAAGTGAAAATTTGATATCGTGCTGAATACTTCTGCCTTATATATGTAACTAATAAATTATAATAAAAGTTTTCTATTGAAACTAAGTCGTAATATAAATTTGGCTTAAAATAGTAGCTTTTCTAACATTTACCTCAAAATAATACACGTTCTTAAAAGCCCTGAAAATGCCAGAAGGGTGTAATAAAATGATAACATTATATAAAACAGATTCACTTTGAGTGCCCAAAACCCCAACCGGGGGAGAAAAGGGTTGCCCAAAGGGATAATATCATAAAGGGATTACCCTCTGAGATGCTTAAACCCTTCAATGTTAATTTGTTTGTTAATTTTTCTTTACGTTTATCTTTGATATAATTAGTTTTACAGTGATGGCGAGTGATAAAATAAATTATAATGGTATTTTGTATCCATACTGTATCTCTGTTTGTTAAAGTAGGTACCTAAACGATATAAGTTTAGGAGTATAAATAAGAGCGTCCTAATTATTTTGCTTTGCATATTATTATAAAAATATACCTAAAACAATTGTTATTATATTTTTTATTTTCAACATAGCTAAAATTACAGTGTATCCTTTCTATAATATAAGTAACTATTTGGCAGTATATAAATCTATGATTTAACACCAATATTTTAGTACTATATAACAAATCAAATAAAAAGAAATTACAATGCTGTACAATGATAATAAGAAGAAAAAAAATCAAAATTGGAACACAAAAGCCTATACAAAATGTTGTAACTAACAACCACTGTCGGTAGCCACATAGACGGGCCCATGAATCATACGGCGTAACCGAATTAGGACCACGGAATCTTGTTACGCCACCCTTTTCTACCCTGATGCCATGTGACACAAGTGTGCCTACCATAGACTATGTAAGTAATCGCTTTTATTGTTTTCTACATTTAGTTGAATACACTTTTTTATGTGCTGTAGAGACAAAGGGATACGCTGTAGAATTCTTTACATTTGGATTGCAGCATTTTAGTATGTAATAAAATTGTGGAAGTCATTGATTTTATACCAATACAAAAGGGAGAGTTTGGCTTTAAATGACATTCATTTATATATGTACCCATGTACTAAATTCATTTAAGGCGACTTTTCTCTCGCACAATTTGGAACCCGAACGATCAAGGCCATATTATGTCGTCACGAGACATGTTTTATTTACATATCGGCTCGATTAGACCTACAAATTTAATGTTATCCGATAGATCAAATCGTACGAACAAAATAAAAATTCAATAACTTTTAAAGGTATTAAATAGTATAAATATTTTAATTCATTCATTCATTTGACATATCGTCAAAATACTATAGACTAGGTACTCTTATTAAGCATGAATCAACCAGAAAGTATCATGACTTTATTTTAAATACACGTTGTATAAACAATTCTTTTATAATGTTATAAAATATTGAGTGTTCATTCTGCAGAATATAGGATGTAATTTCATCTGAACATGCATTCGAAATATATTACCCTCCTTTCTTTGGCAGTCTGGTAGCTATTAGTTACTACAGTACATGACGATTTTATACATACTTTATAAAGCATATAATAATTTATGAAGTATTATGTATAAAATCATTACGCAACATGTCAATTAGTCATATATGTTTATAGTAATTTTGTTACGTACATAGCTTTACGACGCATTAAACGAAATTTTATACAAAACAAACAAGAAACACATTTTTTTACATAATATACTGCAACGCTCTGCCAGTTGTCACGGTAATAACAACAAAGATACCTAAGTGTACCAAAGTAAATGGTAAATAAAGTACCTTTGAAATTCCTCGTATTGTAACACAAATTACTACAATATAACTATGCCGTTCCATTGTCTGGCAATCAGAAGTAAAATGCACGAAATAGCGTATTTAAACTCTAATATTTAGTGAGGACATAAAAGTCACTAAGTACGCTCTTAAACTATGGTTAAGTTACCCCCGCAATTGAGGACAATTTGCGGTCACGTGAGGCAACCATTACCATTCTGAACGGCCAATAGGAGCGCGTCTTTTAATACATTTCTGTGTTTGAGTAGAGAACGAATGAGTTGGTAGTTTGAATTTAGAATAGGGTAACAGGAACAGGGTTGCACTGGACAGTTTATGTTTGAGATTTTCTTGTATACGTATACATTAGACTGAAAATAAAATTACGTACCCTAGTCGAATATAAATAATTAAAAACTGCACAATCTTGAATCTTAATATATTAAATTATATTATAAAAAAATTCCAATACTTAAGCTTAGTATTAACTAACTTAACTTAACTTTATTAGATCTATTTTACTTAGATTTGTTTTGATACATCTTAGTAAATTCTATGTAAAGTTATAAATACTAGTCCATATATAGGTATACTAATGTGAAGTCATTTTACGGTCTGCGAATCTAAAATGAATTCGAAATGACTGTATCCAAATGGTCCACTATTCATGATCATTACATTGTCGATTATGAATTTTGAACTGACATTGAATCAAATGTAATATAGTTAACGACATGATCTCATCTCACGGATCATTTAATGCAAATCGATCGATTACGAAAAATACTGGTCATTACGAACGTTCAACCAATCTCTGAGCTCCATATAAACGAATATAATTTATTGAGGTTCGAATTTTAAAATGCAATTACTAGTCAGCCATGTTGGATGTAATTTTGAAAAGAGAACTTACGCGTAACCGCTTCGACGAACGATTGGTTTCAATGTTCCTTTTTTGAAATTTATACGTTGGTACCCATGGATTATTTGTTATTGTCTTTTAGAGCCAGTTATCGATCAGATATGGCATTATGTCATCAAAGTATTAAGACTAGCTTTAATCATAAATAACATTAACTAAAGAATATTCGATTCGTATTGTGTGTAACAAACTTTAGTCCAGTCATTTTTAAGGCGATTTTCCACGAACGACCATCAACATATAATTTAACATTTATTATGAATGAGAAATTTTGATTGCTGCCTCTGTCTGTAGTAATCACGAAGCGCATTTATAGGCTATGAGTAATTTAATAGCGAATAAAGTTTAATCAGATTTTTATTTATTCATGACTTTTGTTACTCGAATGCTATTCTTATTCGTGATTTCCATTATAAAGATAAGACTTCGGATAATAAGACTTTTCTGTAATTATTCAGATGCGATTGTTTGATAACCGCAAGTTTGAAACAAACATTAAATCTATTTTTATTACTTTTAATGTATACCTACAAACATATGTTTTTGAACGTGACTTTGTCCAATGTATCCAGAATTAAGATTTGAAAAAGAAATTAACTCGTTTTCCTATGGGTTCAATGAATTTTATTTAAATATAAAAATCAAGAATACTCTCATGGCGAAGTGGTTTCGCTACCTTCGCCCAACTTTTTCAGGTGCCTAGTAGTGTTTTATGAACTATGTTTCTAGTGATCGGTGTGTTAAGGCAATGATATTACAGGATAGCCATGACATCTTAGTGCTCTGATCAACGCATCACGGCAAGACCATATTTCTGTTCATATATATATCGACGACGATTAACACTTACCATCAGTTGAGCCGTAACCTTGTATACCATTCCTACATAAAAAATCACTAAACTGAACATTTGATTTCAGCATCATTCCCCATCACAAGGCGGATTGGACACCCATACCAGAACAGAACGCCACCGAAACGGAAGAAACCTAGAACCTCCTTCACAAGACTTCAAATAGCAGAGCTAGAGAAGAGGTTCCACAAGCAGAAGTACTTAGCGTCCGCAGAGAGGGCGTCACTGGCGAAAACTTTGAAAATGACAGATGCACAGGTCAAGACGTGGTTCCAGAACCGACGGACAAAATGGAGGTTAGTTGTAACCACTTTACTTAAATTATGTTGAAGGTAATGTACCGACTTAAAACGGATGAGGATCTTTTGTCCATGCTAATATTTATCTGTGCTAATATTCTAAATGTGAAAGTATGTATGTCTGTATTGTCTGATTGCTTTTACTTTTTCACGACTAAACTGCTGAAAGGATTTTAAGAAAATTTTGGCATGAATTGGTGTACATAGAATATAGGCTATCTTTTATCTACTAGAAGCAGACGAAATCGCGGAACAGCTATTATTTCAAATTTGTATTATTGTATGTGACTACGCAAAATGAGAATTTATTTTCATGTTTATTTAAAGTGTTAGTGTTTTTTAAAAGATCGGAGACTTTGAATCTGTTATTTATACTGGTGTGTCGTGCTGTAAACCAGCGGTGCGGTTTAGAAATAATCGTAGTACAGACAGACTTGATTCGAATTAGAGATTATATTAGATAGTTTTTATTCTTTGTAGGCAATACAATACTAGGATAGCTAATGCTTTTAATCATTATTTTCTAGACTTATAAATTTCGCTCAATAATCATATATTCCTTCTATATCTCTTTAAATAAGGATTTTATCTATTAAGCGACTTTCTAGCGACTAAAAAAATATTTTTAATGAAATATACTATTGCACGATGTATAATATATACATTTATTCTAAATGTCCATGCATCAGAACGTGATAGCGTGGGCGGGTAGAATGCAAATAAAATAAACTACCCGATGACAGACTAATGTCACGATTCCGTGCACCTACCTCTTCTTGTTCTGAGATGTTAAAACGTCCGGCGGTCTGTTTTAATCAAGTACAATCTGAAAACAATATGTTTTACTTTTCATTCTTAGATGTAGTACATGCATATTTGTCAGATTTAAAAATGGAATTCGAAATGGAGGGAAAACTTGACTATGTAGCGATTCGATTTTTGAATTTTTATACCACAAATAAAGCTATCGCAACAGAACATTTATGCATGACTACCACAGACTAAATTCATGGTTATTAGAAACAAAATAATTGAACTATAATGTAGTGATTATTTACTCAGTGATTTAAGTTATTTTGATAATTAGTTTAAAATTTCATATAATATCAAAGTTAAACTCATATGAAACATGTTTTGCCACTAAAGCGATTTTTAACACTTTTTATCTCAAGGAACTGACAAGAAACTCAACGGGTACTTATATTATTCTATTTATCAATAAATCAGTCGCATATAGTTTATTCGATGATAACAAATATAATTAATTAGGGATTGGTAAAACCACACACGTTATTAATTTAAATAGGTAAATATAGATACTCCCATTTCCATACTTGTGACGGCTAGTTTGCTTTATGTACTTAATAAACTTATTTACGTTGTTACTAACTATTCAATTGTAACTGTTATAGTTTTAAGTTGGTAAGAGTGAGTTTTTTTTAAAGAAACGGTTTAACGGCATACCCTTTTATTTCCAATGGTTGCGGGGTCGATTCTTCGCACGGTACAAACATATGTATTTATGCGTATGACTGTTTGTTTTAGTCTGGATATTTTATAGGCTATATTTACAAAAAAAATGTATTGAAGTATTTCTATTAATTGTTCAGTATCCATAATACAAGCTCTGCTTAGCTTAGGAATAGGTGGCCCTGTGTGAATTGCCCAAGGTTAGTTAATGTAGGTACTTGAAAACCCCCTGCTGTAGTCTGGAGAAAACATCGCCAGGTAGTTCATTCTACAATCTAAGTTTTCAATCATTTAGGTTATAGCGTGTGGGAATGTCGAATGTCGATTGCGAGCGGTCCGATGGCAAAACGTAGCCGTGGGCATCATGTCAAACAATTCTTCAAAGCACAGTCAGTTATATATTCCAGATTTTCTTTCAATCATGCGTCTACTTCCCTGGTGTGACCCATGTCACTAATATATCCAATATGATGTTTGTTACAAGTAACAAATTTTTAATCTTATATATACATAGATATATCCAAAGTTATGTTACAATTTATTTACATTTGTAGGAAAAGAGGAAAGTATACAACTTTTGTATCGATATCGACGTTTCACGCGTCTATTTGGACAATCGATACATCAATTTAATTAACCTGTTTAAAAATGAGCCGATAAAATTTAACAGAATCACTGGCGAGCTGTCTGCTTACAATAAATTATTGGAAATGGCAATTAACATGGAAATTAATTAATACAATTCAATCAATAAACATACACGTGTTCCGTAAAAGCTTTCAACTAGCACATTAATTTTGGACCTGTATCTATTAATATTATTATATGTATAATAAGAGACAGAGAGAGACAGCTAGCTTTTTGTTTGCACATGTAGTTTCATTTTATAAACCATTGTATTGGTTTTAATATTTGAAGTGGACTTTATTTCCGATTTACACATCTGTACCTACTTAATTCTGTCTTTTTTTACATGTTGATAATAAAATTCAAACTGATATATTTCTGTACATAGAAGATATATAAAAGTAACTATTATTCAGTGACTTTGTCAATGTATTTATATGTGTGTTTGTGCACGCTAATCTCAGAAAAGACGTGATTTTCACTAATGTGCAAAGATTAACTTGTTTATTTTATTACACTCGATTTATAAGTTATAAACTAATGTTATTGCGAATACCGCGGGTAAGATTTCTATTAGGTTGAAAAATCAAACTAAACATATTTTTTTATTATAATTAACTTATACATACATATATCCGCCATGTAGATACGGTTATCAGTTACTATATGCACATAGCAATTAACACTATATATCTACGTTTTATTAGAGTTGTCACCGACCTTATGAAAATTTAACTAAAGTTAAATGTTAACAAACAGAACTGATCCGAAATTGAAGTGGGCTTGAAGAAGAAAACAAAGCTTTCAACATTAATTTATGCTAACAATAACTTGCAAATAAAGGCTTGAAACTTATTTTTGAGGCTGTTGATTAAATATAAATAAAAATGACATTCAATGTTTGTAAAAAAATACCCTTAAGGGGGTAAAATAAAATAGGGGATGCAAGTTTTTATGTAAACACGTCATTTTTGAAGTTAGAAGCTTGAAACTTATTGTTGAGACTGTTGATTAAATATAAATAAAAATGACATTCAATGTTTGTAAAAAATTACCCTTAAGGGGGTAAAGTAAAATAGGGGATGCAAGTTTTAATAAAGATCTTATAAACAAATTAACAATAAAAAAACATAGTTCTTTATCAAAGAGTAAAATTAAATTCCATATTTGAAAACCCATGTATTTTAAAACTTAAATTACAAATATTCCACGCGCCATTTGCACAGTTCCATTTTTAAATCTATCGGATAAATGTTGCAATTCGAATATGGAATTTCACTTAAACACAAAGGTAAACAAATATCGAATTAAACTATAAGCTGAAGGCGGTTGGTGGCATCACAACCGATTACGTTCTAATGGACAAGTGGTGTTTGTGTTGGGCAAAGATAACGCGTGCTCGATACGGCGGCGGCGCCATGCCACCGCTCGCGTTACAATAAAAAGTAGTATGCAGCCTCTCGAGATGCTCGTGATCTACTGTCTGATAGTGTTACGATATATTGTATTCGGTTTCGCTGTAGTTCTCGATAGGCTTTGTTGGATAATGTATTGTTTATAGGTACTACACGCAACTTTGCTTGACTTTTATTAAAATGAATACTATTCTGCAAGTAATAATACGTTGTATCATTCGGTATATACTTGTATTACATAATGACGTGCAATATTTATTCATAATAATAAAAATTGCTAGTAGCTACTAATTCTTCAGAATGGCTAGACCTATATGGCAATTTTTTTATTCTGAAATTTATGCATTAAAAATTCCATCCAGTATAATCTACAAATTGAATTTTTTTTACATATAAACTTCGATTAAGGAATTGTCTTATTTCTATTTCTATATCAACAAAATTAAGAGCAGTTGTATATATATATGTATATCTATATAAATCGAAATTTACAATAGGTATTTTATACATACATTTTAAGAATCACCAGCCTAACGCATGTATTCTATATTTAAATTAATTCTTTAGATTAATCAATATTAAAATGCTTGTGGTGAATTTAACGAAATGAAAGAAAGAAAACCGCTTCATTTCTAACTTTTAAATTAATCATAAATATTCGTCTTTAATAATTACAATTGAATTAGAAAGAAAATTTGAGTTTTTCAATTTTTTTTAATATATTTCATTAACCAAGAAAAAATACTACTCGGTCACTTTATCAGACGTCTCATTGTATTAACCAGCCGTGTTAATGGGTGGCTTATCACTACCAAGGGCTTCTTGTTTTTGTTTTGTTTATTATTAAAAGTTGCTTTATCGTCTAACGAGGGGCGACGTGGCTAGAACGCGTTGATAGGATTTGTAGGTGCATACTTGATTAATTTGCCGCGTAATTTCTCTGACTGGACAACGTTGTTATTAATTTATAACTACAGTTCATTCTTTATGATGTATAGTTCTATAGAATGTATTATTTAATGATTTTGACTAGTCTAGTTTTAAATCAACTTTAGATAGAAGGCGATTTTCAATGCGATTTTCTCACGAATTCTTTTAACAATCAATACGTTGTTTATAGCCGTTAATTCGTTAGTCTTACAAGAAAATATAATGTATTAGGTCGCAAACAATTTATTGCAATACATTTTAATAACATAATTTAGTTCTTAAATAGGTACCAACCTATGTACTTTACGAATCTAACTGCTAAGCGTTCTTTACTCTTTCAAATTAAAAGAAACCTGTTAAAATATAATCAAATGTCTAATTTATTTTGAGACAAATAAAACATTATTGTCATGTTTTATTAATACACATAATTATAAAGTCGGTGATATACTGAAGCCCGACTTAAAATCGTTTTAAAATACCAACAAGGCGAGACAATGTTAATCAGGTTTTGGAATTTGGGCTCCACAAGTCCAATACTGTAAGGATTTAAAA